CGTCACCAAGTGACACGAAACGTGACCAATGGTCAACATATCTAAGGCTCCCTTAGAGAAGATGTCGAAATAATTCTAAGTGCCTACATTCTCATTAGCATATTCACCAAGTGACTTCCGGTGAGACGGTCCGTCAAAATTAATATCGTTTCGTGACGATTCGTCACCAACTGACACGAAATGAGACCAATGGTCAACATATCTAAGGATCCCTTACAAGATGTCGAAATAWTTCTAAGTGCCTACATTCTCATTAGCATATTCACCGAAATACGAGCGATAACACATTATCACAGGGAACCCATCTCCATTCCTTCACGAAGTGACTGTTTAAGACAGATGGACTTTTTAAAAAGACGATCCGTCTAGTTTCGTGTGTATTGGACAACCCGGACATCATTATATTTTACTCCACTCCATTTGTGTAGTCTGCTTTTGTCCTGGGTACCTACCATTGGAAAACATGTGCTCTATGCAAAGGAAATTGTAATTGTAATTTGCGTTCAAATTAGATTCTCGGCTGAAATTAAAACTGCAAAGTTACAAGAATCTGATCTAGTCTCGTCACATCCAAGGATTCTGGCAATCAAGAAAAAGTCGACGAAATTATCGTAGGATAATTATTATATGATTTTGAAGATCAGTCAAAGGTACAGACAAGAAATCAAAGTGCTCTTAAGACAGCAGAAGCTTCATCCTGTCAAATGAGTTTGTTAAAAGGGGCATTGTACTGCAAGTCTGCAAAGCAACGATCATTCGCACTTGATCTCTGGGTGCATATGCTGAGTCATTATGAATCGAAGTGGGTCGATATGTGATATCAAATTGGAAATCCAAATTGTCGAGAATTGTCAGATTTTGATAATTATACATCGCTGTTCAATTTTATGAATATTCTAAGAAATAGGACAACCGCTTTAGGATCGAATGGTGGCAACGAAGTACAAAAACCTAGAGTAAAGAATGCATCACTTTTTTATACTGCATTAACATATAATGTATATAAACATGCTTTTTACTATTTAGGGAGCTCCAATGAATACCACAGAAACAGTTGCATAGATGAGAATACAAAGTGCGCAAAAAAAAATGGTAACATTACGATCTTTAAAAAAATCTCAGTACAACATCAAAATTTACTCTAAACTTATTCTTATTTGAAAGGTATCTGCGGGTTCGAAAATGGCCCTTGTGGGATGCAAAATGATGGGTGGAGATACTACACACCAACAAACACAAGCAAAAGATATGATCGTTCATTTTTAGAAGGAGGTATTTATCAATTTTGATAGTATACAGCTAACCAAAAAAATTCTACATATTCGAAAAAAGTCCGATATATAAATGTCTTTTGTATTTCCATGAAACGATAATGACAGTTGCTATGGTACTGACTATAATATAWTACAATGTCTCTCCGATTGCTTTGTCTTGAGTCGTCCTTAAAGAGTCGGAGTGAAATATACACATTACATCTAAA